GCTGTCATACCAGCACTTGGGACGCTGAGGCAGGAGGATCCTTGCCAGCCTGGGATTCAAAGGAGCACAAGACCGGCCTGGACTGCATAGAGACACCCCCATCTCAAAAAAAAGGGTCTTCCGGCGGAAACCGCAGGGTACTGGTAAGGAAAGCTGGAACCCCTTGCCATTGCCGGACCTGAACTCAGAAAGCAAAGCCACGGCACCATCTTAACTACAGGCAAGAAGCGCTGCCAAGGCCCCTTCAGGACCAGCAACAGAAAATATCACTTTAAAAAGGGGCGGGACCCGGGGTATCATCAGGGGCCGGGGATATAGCTCAGCGGCACAAGCGCCTGCCTGGCAAGCGCAAGGTCCTGAGTTCGATTTCCGATGCCAAACAAAAAAAAGTGTGTGTGGGACAAACCAGGGCACCAACACCAGATTCGACATTCAAGCTGTAAATCCCCTTTTCTTATATGAAAGCAGCTAAAGTGCCGCCATATTTTCTGAGGGCGCCTTCATTTTCCCGCCTTGGAACCACCGAGTTCGCCCGCTTTTCTCGCTGTCCTAGAGCAGCCCTAACCGAAGCTCCTTCCGGTGACGGAGCCTAGGCGGAGTCCCCAGAGCTCCGCCCGCCCTGGTTTCTTTAGCTTCCTCTCTTCAAACGGGGTAACTGGTGGCTTCACAGGCGGATGCTCAGAAAGACAGGTCAGACATAAGATCGAGGTAAAAGGCTGTGCGCGGACGTGGTCGTGGGCCTGCACCAGCTACACGGGTCTACGGGTCTTCAGCACGGTCCTCAGGTCGTCCGAACCCGATCTCTGAAAAGGGAGATGGGTCGGGTGGGCAAGACCCAGTGCCTGATTCGCCTCCACACCTGGCCCGTGCAAACTTCGCTTCCCAGGATCTCCGGATGAGCCTCAGTGGAATGCCTAACGACCTCTCCTGCCAAACTCCAGTGACTTCCCAGGTGTATAGCACAATGGTCTTTTTTGTTCGTTTGTGGGTTTTTTGGTCTTTTTGAGACAGGGTCTCATTATGCAGTTCAGGCTGGCCTTGAGCTCACTTTGTAGCCCAGGCTGGTTTCGAATTTGCAACAATCCTCCTGCCTCAGCCTCCTAAGTGCTGGGATTACGGGCGTGCGCCACCACGTCCGGCTAGCACAATGGTTTTAAGATGTAAATTTTTATTTTATTTTTTGAGACAGGGTCTTACTATGTAGTTCAGGCTTGCCTTGAGCTCTCACTACAGTATGTAGCCCAGGCTTGCCTCAAACTAGCTGCATTCCTCCTGCCTCAGCCTCCTAAGTGCTGGGATAACAGTCACACAGTGGTCTTAATGATGCATGGCATGCTAACATCCCTTCGAATTAAAAAGGTCTCTCCTTCTAGATGTGTGATTCCACTTAAGCTACACTTGGACATTTAACCCATCCTTCAATGCTCTCAAAGACGACCTGCAAGAAAATCCTCCTGCTGGGCGTGGTGGCACACGCCTGTAATCCCAGCACCCGCGAGGCTGAGGCAGGAGGATTGTTGCGAGTTCGAGGCCAGCCTGGGCTACAAAGTGAGCTCAAGGCCAGCCTGAACTGCATAGCGTGACCCTGTCTCAAAAAGACAAAACAAACAAAAAGAAAATCCTCCGGGAATTCTGCCCCATGCTAGAAGCCTCATAACTGTGGCTTTGGTCTCTTTATAACTCTGCACGATCTGCCCAGAAGTTCTTCCAAAAACCTGTGTCAATGCCAGTGGAATTCATACCTGGTGGATCTCTTCTCCCAGTTTAATGAAAATATTTTTTTTCCAGGGTGGCCTTGAATTCATTATGTAGCCCAGGCTGGCCTGAAACTCGTGGTGATCCTCTTGCCTCAGCCTCTCAAGTGTTGGGATTACACGCCTGCAGTTTAATGTAAATTTAGACCAGACACTTGGTTCAACAATATCTTAAAAAAAACAAAACAAAACAGTATCTTCAAGGCCCGGGGTGGTGGCACATGCCTGTAATCCCTGCACTTGCACTTGGGAGGCTGAGGCAGGACAACTGCCTCAACTTCAAGGCCAGCCTGGATTACATAGAGACCCTATCTCAAAAAAATGCAAAACAAACAAACAATGTCTCCAATATTCAGAACATCTAAACAAAGCCTGGCACACAAGCATTGCCTGAAACAGTTTCATTAAATGAGCACACAGGTGGTCAGAATATATTCTTTTAGTGATGAGTGTTTTCCCCCCAGGCTTCCCAGTCCCCCAATCAGCCCTCATCTCCTTGGTGAGGTAGAGTCCCAGCTGTGGGGTCCAGGTGCTTAGCATCCGCAGGAAGTCTGAGAAAGCCAGAGGTGAGACATGAAGTGGGGGCAGTGTGCTAGTTCCGGCTGGACAGGCAAGAGATGTTCTGTTGAGCAAGAAACACCATCTGTGTGTTCTTTGCTGCTGCTGCTGTTACTAATTTTTTTTTTTTTTTGTCTTTTTGAGACAGGATCTCACTATGTAGTTCAGGCTGGTCTTGAACTCACAACTATCCTCCTGCCTCAGCCTCCCGAGTGCTGGGATTACAGGCATGCGCCACCATGCCTGGCTTGCTGTGACTAATTTTTGATGACCTGAATTTATGAAGCTCATTGCATTCTGGGGTTTTGACTTTGTAGTAGATTGACAACTGGTGGTCAACTTATAACCCCCAGCTGAACGGAGTAAGTGTGGTGCTGGGTGTGGGAGGCCCACCTGGGGACTGTTGCCACCAGCGTAAGAGGCAGAACTGGAGAAGGAGAAGGAGGCTGTTGGGAGCGGACAAAGGCTGTCAGGAGCTGGTAGAAGCTGTAAGGAGCTGTTGGTTCTGCTGGAGGAGCTCATCATGCTGGCTTTCCTGATGAACTCGGCTGTTTTCATCCTCCAAGGAGCTCGGGATCTTGTTGGCACTGAGAATGGCTTCGGTTCACTTTGGGGGAGCTCTGGTCCTCACTCTGAGCATCGCTTCCTGGCTCCAGTGCAGATCCCTCGGCCTGCTAGCACAGGTCCTTCATCCCACTGGCACAGACTTGCTAGATTCCACCACTGACCTTTGGGCCTTCCTGGTGCAGATCTGTGAGACAGGCCTGCATGAGATGTTGTTATGGGCTCTGGGCCTCCAGGTGGACTCGTGGGAGGCACTGTTATGGGCTCTAGGTCTTCAGCTGGACTCATGCAGGACATTTCCATGGGATCCAGACCCTCAGCTGGATTCCTTGGTCTGTGTGTGGACAGATTTCCTGTACTCTTTTATATATTGTTCTTTGGGTGATTATTATAAATAATGATATAATAATTATCATAAATAATATAAAAGATGTGTCCTGTATTATATTGTTCCCCTTGCAAAATAAGCCCCAAACCAAGACAGATCTCTTTCTCATTTGTCTTTGGTACCACAATCAGGCCACACCTTATGAATCACCCAAGCTCTAGGGGAGTGGCAGCGTGTGAATTCAGGTTTAGGATGGAGATGGTTCACTCTTCTGTCTCCCAAGTCGCTGGGCCCTCTAGCAGGTGTTCCTTGGTTCTGAGGTGTGTGGGGACCGCCGGGCCTTGTAAGCTACTTGATTGGCTAGCGTGTCCTAGTGATGGGGTGGCTCCCAGGAGTTAGGGTCTGGATGCTTCCTCCGAACGCTTCTGTTGTGGGGATACTGTCACCTCGGGGACAGAGTAGTCCTGGGGGAAGAGACCTGTAAACTGTGAGTCTGCTGTTTCTTAGCACTCATTAGAAAAATAGTACTTTGGAAGGGGCTAACAGGAGTCTGAGGATGATCACGCGTCCCTGGGGTCAGAGGCGATGACCCGATCTCGAACTCTAGCCAAGGCTTCCTGTCGCCAGGGCCTTCTCCAAGCCCTGTTCATGCCTCATCTCAATGCCCGCTCCTCACCCGGCATCCTCAGTCCTGTCCCAAGTACATTTTGCCAGAACGTGAGCCTGACCCAGTGTACTCCAGGGAGTGACCCTCTGGCGGCCACACTTGCTTCTGCCACACCGAATACCTACCTCAATGCAGCCAAGTAAGGGCTCCTACACCCCTCCCGAGTGGCCAGTGCTTCCACGAAAGGCTCATGGGCGGACTCACGGGCTTCAGGGGCTCATCCCCAGCGATGTGAATTTAGGCCTTCTTTTCAGGAAGGAGCGCCTCCCCTAGAGAGCTTCCAGCCCTACCTGGTGCACTTCCAGGCCAGTGGATAAGCCGTGGGCACCGAGAGGTGACAAAATGAAAGGAAATTTTTTAATGTTCTCTTATGGCCTCCCATGAGAGAAGGTAATCTTGTAGATGAGTCCTTTTGTTCTCTCTCAGACCCTAACCTAGTCTGCCCCACCCACCCCGCATTTCAGTCTTCAACAGACTTCCAACAGAAAAGTTTTTCTTCTTTTTGTCTTTTGGGACAGGGTCTGGCTATGCAGTTCAGGCTGGCCTTGAGCTCACTTTGTAGCCCAGGATGGTCTCGAACTCGCAAAGATCCTCCTGCCTCAGCCTTCCAAGCGCTGGGATTACAGGTGTACGCTACCACGCCCGGCTTCAGAAAGGGTTTATATACTCCATTAAAAAAAAAAAAAAAAAACCAAAAAAAGGGGAGGGGGCTGGGGATTTAGCTCAGCGGCACAGCACCTGCCTGGCAAGCGCAAGGTGGTGAGTTCGATTCCCGGTACCGGAAAACAAAAAACAAAAAACAGGGGGTTAGGGATTTAGCTCAGCGGCACAGCGCCTGCCTGGCAAGCGCGAGGTCTTGAGTTCGATTCCTGGTACCGGAAAAAAAAAAACCAAAAAACAAACAAACAAACAAACAAAAACCCTCAACACTAGGAAATGGTTGCTGTTACCTGACTTTTGAGAACACGAGCAATGCACCGGAGCTGGCCTTTCATCGGCCCAGAGACGCAAACTAACGGCCGAATCAAGAATCACCGAAGCTTAGCGGTCGGCTCCAGCCTCGTACACCTCCCGAGCTGCTCCCGCCCGCCTCCAGCTGGGTGGGGCTGAAAAGTAGCTTCACCTTGAGCAAGCAGAGAAGTCCCCGCCCCCTCCGACAGCCGGTGCGTCGCCACGGCACCTCAGACTGGCATGTGTAGCTGTCCCGGCCATTTTGGACAAGGGCGGGAAGGCGCAGCGACCCGGCGAACCAGGGCTGGCGTCACAATGGGCACGACTGCGTGGAAGGAGAGTTCGAGAGGCCGCGTTGCCGCCATTTTTCCTAAGTTCTGATTATGTACCCTCTGCCCTCCTGTCTCAGTTGTGATCCACTCCAGTGGGCCCTCGAGAGGCCAGTCTGCCCTCTTGTATCTGTGATGCCCGCCCTCCAACCCCTGGGCCCGGGGTGGGGGCGATCGTGAGCGCGGGGCGCCGCGGGTGACCAGACCCGATAGGAGAGGCGGCTGTCCTGTCGCCGGCGCCGGTGGTTCCCATGGCGCCGCCTTTGGCTCCGCTCCCGGCGCGGGCCCCGAACCAGGCAGGGGCCAAGTGCCGGGAGCCCTGGGCTGTAACCTTCGCGGACGTGGCCGTGTACTTCTCCTCGGAGGAGTGGAAGTGTCTGTGCCCCGCGCAGAGAGCCCTGTACCGGGACGTGATGCTCGAGACCTACGGCCTCCTGAGCGCGCTCGGTGAGAGCCCTGCCCACCCGCCCGGCCCACACCCCCTGGCCGCTCTGGGTCCCGCACGTGGAGGGGGGGACCGTGTGGGGCGGCCTCCTCGCATCGTGGGGTTTGCCTTCTCCCCCAGGAGGCGGAGGCACCAAGCCAGCGCTGATCTCCTGGGTGGAGGGAGAGGCCGAACTGTGGGATCCAGATGCCCGGGATCCAGAGGTGGTGGCCGAGTGGCCAGCAGAAGCAGACACAGGTGAAATTACTGGGTATTCGGGCCCGTGGGGCTTTGTCTGTGCCTGGCATATCGTGGTGCCCTCTGCCAACTCCACCTACCTGCTTCCCTAACTTGCTTTCCTGGCCAAGGCCATTAAGTCTGGCCTGTGGGTTCAGTCTACAAAGGGGGTGTAATTGTGTCAGGCTGTGCTAGGACTACCTGACCCAGCAATCTTCTGAGTTTCCCACCCCTAGTTGGCCACCAGTGTGCTCCAACATCACTGGCTCCTGTGCCACTTCCTGTGTTGTAGTTTACCCTCTCCTGCGTTCTTTGTGTGTGTGTGTGTGTCTGTGTGTGTGTGTCCGTGTGTGCATGTGTGTGTTTGAGACAGCGTCTCGCTATGCAGTTCAGACTGGTTTTGAACTTACTTTGTAGCTCAGGCTGGCCTCGAACTCGCAATGATCTTCCTGCTTCAGCCTCCCAAGTGCTGGGATTACAGGGGTGCGCCACCACGCCCGGCTTCCTTCAGTTCATTCTGTCACCCTTTGCAAAGTGCCAGGCCTCCCAGGACTTGCCGTGCCTGTTGGGAGCATGCCTGGAACGTCCTTAGGTGTCCACTCATTTTTCGTGATGCAGCTCAGATGTTGTCACCTTTCTTGCTCTCTTGGGTGCCTGAGGCCTAATATATTGTTCCCTCCTTTCTGTCTCTGCACCTGACAAAAAGTATCCCTCCAAGCTCCGCTGCCTGTACTGCACTAAATTCTAGGGGCACCCATGGGTCTAGAAGGGGGTTGTATCTGAGGCCTGCCTTCACCATGTCAGAGTTTGGGATTCAAGCACCAGGATGAACCGGTGTGTGAGCTCTCTCCCCTTATCTCCCAGCAGATTCTAGAAACGAGGAGGAGAAAAAAGAAAGGGAAGTGGCTGAAGCACTGGAGAAGATATTTCCTACGGACTCTCGGCCCCCTGGACTGAAGGTCCCCCAGTCCTCCTCTGCTGGCCTTCTCTACAGCTTGCAGCGGCCCTCCAAGGCACATCACCGGGGGCGCCCTCCGCTCCGAGCGCACCCTTCTGTCCCGAGAGCAGACCAGCGTCACGGCTGCTATGTGTGTGGAAAGAGCTTTGCCTGGCGCTCCACGCTGGTGGAGCATCTCTACACGCACACAGGCGAGAAGCCTTTCCAGTGCCCTGACTGCGGCAAGGGCTTGGGCCGGGCCTCGTCTCTGAGCAAGCATCGGGCCATCCACCGAGGGGAACGGCCCCACCGCTGCCCGGATTGCGGTCGGGCTTTCACGCAGCGCTCGGCTCTCACCACCCACCTTCGGGTCCACACGGGCGAGAAACCCTACTGCTGTGCTGACTGTGGCCGCTGCTTCCGCCAGAGCTCCGCCCTGCACCAGCACCAGCGGGTGCACAGTGGCAAGACCCCTTTCCCCTGTGCAGACTGTGGCCGCGCCTTCGCCCATTCCTCAGACCTGCGGCGCCACGTCCGTACCCACACAGGCGAGAAACCCTACCCGTGCCCGGACTGCGGGCGCTGCTTCCGGCAGAGCTCAGAAATGGTAGTCCACAGGCGTACCCACAGCGGCGAGCGCCCCTACCCCTGTCCTCAGTGCGGCAGGTGTTTCAGCCAGAAGTCAGCCATGGCCAAGCACCAGTGGGTCCATCGGCCGAGAGTCGGGGGCTGCAGGGGCCGGGGAAGCAGCGGGTTGCCTATGTCCCTGGCCCCTGGCCCGGGGGACCTAGACCCACCTGTGGGCTTCCATTACTACCCAGAGATTTTCCAGGAGTGTGGGGGACAACCTCAGAAGTGACAGGCAAGGGTGATGATCCAGACACTGTCTGGGGCCCCCAGATGAGCTCGAAGGGGCCTCTGTGGCAGCCTTGACGACGGTCACAGAGTCTAGCAAGAGCGGGACTTGGGGACCAGGGCTGTTCTCCTAGGCCCTCACCAGCTCCATGTGCTGATACTTTGCTCCCTACTGCTCTAAACTAGGCTATAGATGGGCTCCCTGCTACAAGGTGAGAACCACTAGACTTTGTTGAGGAGAACTTCGTTGGCTCAGTATCTTTTTTTTTTTTTTTTTTGTGGTGCTGGGATAAAACCCAGGGCTTAGGTTTGCTGAGAAAGTGTTACCACTGAGCTACATCCCAGCCCCTCCCTTTTTGGAGGTATTGGAGAGTGAACTCAGGCTTTTTACACTGAACTACAGCCCCAGCCCTTAATTTTATTTTTATTTTAAGATGGGTCTCACTATTTTGCTAAGTTGCCCAGGCTGGACTTGAACTTGTGAACTTTCTGCCTCAGCCTCAGAGTGCTGGGATTACAAGCATGTGCCACCAGGCCCAGCCACCCAGCCCTTCTAAAATTTACTTCGAGAGCCGGTTGTGGTGGCACACATTTGTAATCCCAGCACTTGGCAGGCTGAGGCAGATGGATTGCCATGAATTCGGGGCCAGCCTGGACTACATAGTAAGACCTCACCTCAAACCAAAAAAATATATATATATACACGTATATATATGTAATTTATTTTGAGATGAGGTCTTCAACCATGTTGCCCAGGGATTATAGGCATCTGCCATAGTAGTTAGCTTAGACCCATTGTTTCTTTTTTCTGTTTATTTGTTTTTGTTTTTCTTCTGGTACCAGGAATTGAACTCATAACCTTGTGCTTGCCAGGCAGGCGCTGTGCCGCTGAGCTAAACCCCCAGCCTCGACCCATTGTCCCTTTTTTTTTATTTTTATTTATTTATTTTTTTGGTACCAGGAATTGAACTCACAACCTCCTGCTGGCCGGGCAGGCATTGTGCCAATGACCTGCATCCCCGGCCCCATTGTTTCTTTAATGCAGAAGTGAAAATTAGTGGTAAATTACTTTACTTACTTTGATGCAAGCAGCATTTTCAAATGTTAAAAATTAATGGTCAAGATTTAAAAATCAGTGGCTGGTGAGGTGGTGCATACTTATGATGCTAGCATTTGGGAGACTGAGGTAGAAGAATCACAAGTTTGAGGCCAGCCTTTTTTTTTTTTTTTTGTACCAGGAATCGAACTCAAGACCTTGCACTTGCCCGGCAGGTGCTTGTGCTGCTGAGCTACATCCCCGGCCCTGAGGCCAGCCTGTCTTAAAAAACAAAATAAACATTTAACATTTAGGTACTAAACACAAATCCAGGGTTTTGGCTTCTTAAAAAATTCACAGGTTTGGCAGCTTGACCTAAATTTCATAAAACCACAGTTTGGGGGAGCTGAGCACCCGCTGGGTTGGCAAGCCATGGTCTGTAGGACTTTCGTTTCCTGAATCAGAGGACGTGTGTGTGGGGTGTGAGGTTGGCGGAAGGGAAGTAAAGGGAAGCATTACTTCAAATCTTCCCTTGTATCGCGTTCGATGCTTTATGAAGTACTTGTCTCATCCATCACCACATTTTGCTCTCATAACTGCCTGGGAGGAGAGCAGCTTGCCTGGAGAGAGACCCCAAGGGCCAGATCTTCATGCCAACCCCATGGCATGTGTGCTGAGCCATGGCACCCTCAGCCGATGGGCTTCTCCCGATTTTGAAGGAGGAGGCCTTGGGAGCCCCACCCCCAATGCCCGCAGGTCTTCTGGCCACCCTGGACCCAGCTGTTGGGTGTCCTCATGGTTTTTGACTAGAGAGAGCTTAGCTTTTGCTAAGAGAACGCTTTTGCTTGAGAACACAGACCAGGGGATGCTAAGCAACCTGCCCAAAGTGACACAGCGAGACTGCAGGGTTCTCAGTGTACTGTTGCTTTTTATTTTGTGTTATTGAGGATTGAACCAGGGCTTTGAAGCACAGGCTAGGCAACTGCTCTACTGCTGGGCTCCATCCCTAGCACTGTTTAGTGTTTTTGTGGAACTGAGGATTGAATCTAGGGCCTTTACACTGAGCTACATCACCAGCCCTTTTTAAGATTTTATTTTGATGCTGGGCATAGTGGCACGCCTGTAACCCCAGCACTTGGGAGGCTGAGGCAGGAGGATTGTTGCAAGTTCGAGACCAGCCTGGGCTACAGAGTGAGCTCAAGTCCAGCCTAAACTGCATAGCGAGACCATGTCTCAAGAAAACCAAAAAAAGATTTTATTTTGAATTGTATCTTGGCCTTTTGGCTAAGATAAATTGTAAAATTTACAGTAAATCTCTGACCTATGAACATTTGAGTTGTAAACTTTCACAGGTCTGCTGTAGAAGATTCACTTTGTCAGCTTACAAATGCATCTGACTTACAAACAGTTCTCCCAGAACAGAACTCATTCATAACTCAGGGACTTTCTGTATTTTGAAACAGGGTTTCAAGAACTCATTAAATTGCCTGGGCTAGCCTTGAACTTGCAGTCCTACTGCTTTAGTCTCCTGTGGAGCTGGGGTTACAGATGGGCACCGTTGTGCCCGACTCTTGTGTGGAGGTGTTTGAGACAGGGTCTTGCTGTATAGTTCAGGCAGGCCTTGAACTCACTGTGTAGCCAAGGCCGACCTTCCAGCAATCCTGCCTCAGCCTCCCAAGTGCTGGAATTACAGGTGTGTACCATCATCATGCCTGGCTTTTTTTTTTTTTTTTTTTTAACGAAGTGGGTTCTCACCTTGTTGCCCAGACTGGCCCCAAACTTCTGGCTGAAGCCGTCCTTCTGCCCCAACCTCCAGAGGACCTGGGACTGCAGGCTCCTGCCACTGCTACTGCTGTTCCCACATCCCTCCTAAGACCCTCGCCAGCCTCTTAGCCAGGGCTCTGTGACCTGTGATAGCGCCCAGGCCCAGACTGGATGGGTGGCCATACCCTACGTCCACATAGTTCTGACAGGACAGCCAAGGAAAGACCCAGGCAAGGGAAAACCCCAGCTTGATATGAGAGTTGCAGGGCAAACAAAAGCCAGTATTGGGTCTTCACTTTCTTTTGGTGCTCACCATTGTGAACAAATGGGGCTAGGCCAGGAACTTTTTTTGTTTTGTTTTGGTTTTGTACTGGGAATTTGAACTCATGACCTCACGCTTGCCAGGCAGGCGCTGTGCCGCTGAACTATATTCCGGCCTACAAGGCCAGGAATTTTTAAGGTGAGATTTCAGCCAGAGGGGACTTTATGATCTGTGCTCCCAAATTCTGCACAGAATCTTTCCCCTGTTACCTCGTGACTCTGTTATCCATTTCCCACCAATTCCTTTGTGGTCAGGGTCCAGCCTTGCGCGGGTGGGTGAAGCAGTCAGCTGTGGGTGACCCTGTTCTGCTGAGGCTGGGACAGCCTGTCCAGGAGTGGTGAAGGGCTTATGCTCTCTGCTGGCCTGTATGCATTTGCCTGTACCCCGTGTCAGCCCTGTGTCTGGCCTGTTACAAAGAGGAATAAGCCAGACATGCTGGTGCACACCTGTAATCCCAGCACTCTTGGAGGCTGAGGCAGAAGGATCACAAGTTTGAACCTGGACTGGACAGTTAGTGACTTGACATGATGCTGGATTTTTTTTTTTTTTTTTTGAAACAGGAATTGAACTCAGGACCTTGCTCTTGCCAGGCAGGTGCTGTGCAGTAGAGCTATATCCCTGGCTCTTTTTTTTGTTTTGAGAAAGTCTCCCTATGTAGCTCAGGCTGGCCTTGACTCACTATGTCCGTCCAGGCCTGCCTCAAACGCCAGCAATCCTGCCTCAGCCTCCTGAGTGCTGGAATTACAGGCATGTGCCACCATGCCCAGCTCAAGATGATGTTTTAAAATTAAAAATAAGCATTGGGGATGTAGCTCAGTGCAAAGGCCCTGGGTTCAATAGCCAGTATGATCATACCACCAAAACAAAACAAAACAAACAGAAACCCACAAGAAACCAGATGTGAGTCTGACACTGTTCAGGTGAAGTAGCAAATTTAACTCCAACTAATCTTCAAAGCCGACCCCCACCAGGACCTCCCTGAGTCTAAATATTTCTAGGAAGGATTAGCTTACCACTGCCTTATCACAAGGGTGTTACTGGGCGAACGAGGCGCCTTGGCAGCTACCTTTGGACCAACTTGTCCTTAGCACACAGCCGCAGCCCCGCAGCACTGCCTGGGGATAGCCTAGCTCACATCACCAGTTCTCAGCTCACACTCGAAACCAGATCCCGCCCCTGCCCCCAGCTTGCCAATTAAAGGTGCCATAATTGCTACTTGAACATCTCTGAGTGCTTTGAAGTTTGGTAGGCTTGCTCAGGGCTCAGAAACCAGGCTCAATTCCTTCCTGCTGTCACCACTCAGCTTCCCATCATTTAATCCTTTAGGGTGATGAAACTCTCAAACTTCAGCTCTACTTCATTCTCAGCTGCTCTTTTCCTGGCATGAATACTTCATCAAAAGTAGGACTCCCTTTTCTGCTGCCACACGTCTTGGAAGCTTAGCCCCGGAAGTACAATAGTTGAAGCCAGGAAGAGTTTTGCCCTATATTTCATTGGTACACTGGGAGAAATGCTTATCTTAAATTCAGAAAATAACTCCAGCTAGCTAGGCATGGTGGCACATGCCTGTAATCCTGGCACTCAGAAGGCTGAGGCAGGAGGATTGCTTAGAGTTCGAGGCTAGCCTGGGCTACACATTGAGCTGAAGGCCAACCTGAACTACATAGAGAAACCCTGTTTAAAAAAAGAAAAGGAAAGAAAAGGAAAAAAGTCCCATTTGAATAGGCAGCCAGGGTGAGAAATAAAGGCTGTGAACACACTGCCCATCCCTAGTTTGACAGACCACTTAAAAGTAGCTGTTAGGCCAAGTGTGGTGGCACACATTTGTAATCCCAGCACTCGGGAGGCTGAGGCAGGAGGATTGTTGTGAGTTAGAGGCCAGCCTGGGCTACAAAGTGAGCTCAAGTTCAGCCTAAATTGCATAGCGAGACCCTGTCTCAAAAAGACAAAAAAACAAAAACAAAAACAATATAATGCAAATGCTATGTAAATAGCTGTCATACTGTATTGTTTGGGGGATATTGTTAAAAGAAGTCAGTACATCTTCAGTACAGATGCAGTTTTTAAATTTTTTTTATTATGATTGGTTGAATCAGTGGAAGAACAGATACAAAAAACTAACGTTCTTTTCATTTTTTGCCATACTGGGCCTTCAGACTGAGGTAGCTCCCCAGTCCTTTTCCTTTCAGAGACAAAATCTAAGTTGCTAAATTGCCTAGACTGGGCTTAAACATTTTTCTCTTTTTGAGACAAGGTCTCGCTGTGTAGTTCAGGCTGGCCTTGAACTCACTATGTAGCCCAGGCTGGTCTCGAACTCACAATGATCCTCCTGCTTCAGCCTCCCAAGTGCTGGGATTACCGGCATGCGCTACTATGCCCCACTCTGGGTTTGAATTTGTGTTCCTCTTGCCTCAGTCTCCAATTATATTTTCAGAGTAAGGCCTTCCAGGGACCTGGGCTATAGCTCAGTGGCATAAGCACCTGCCTGGCAAGTGCAAGGTCCTGAGTTCGATTCTTAGTATAAAAAAAATATAAAAAAAAACAAAGTAAGGCCTCCCTACTGTATCTTACTCCACCAAGCTGTATTTTATTACATGAGATTTTTAAAAAATTACAGCTTTAGGTGGGTGTGGTGGTGCACGCCTGTAATCCCAGCACTCTGGGAGGCTGAGGCAGGAGGATCGTTGCGAGTTCGAGACCAGTCTAGGCTACAAAGTGAGCTCAAGGCCAGTTTGAACTGCATAGTGAGACCCTGTCTCAAAAAAAAAAAAAAAAAGTTATAGCTTGTCTCCTGGACTCTACAGTCTAGGGCCTGTTGAATCAGCATTTCCAGGGCAATGTTTGAGAGAACCCCTGCTCTGAACAAAATGTCCTTTTCTAGATGATTTTTGTTTTGCAAGAGTAGTGATTTGTCCATGGCCTGTCCCAAATATGTCAGGCCAGGGGAAGACCTACCCATGAACAAAGACCTCCATTTATTTTTTTCTTCCCGAAGGGCCCTGTGCCTTGGGTGATCACTTTTCCTCAATACCCCAAATCATGCTGATTACTGGGGCATCTGTTCCACCATCACACTTGTCCCTTGCACATAGGAAGGAGCAATTCATCAAAGGTCCCTTACTTGCTGGGCGTGGTGGTGCACACCTGTAATCCTAGCACTTGGGAGGCCGAGGCGGGAGGATCATTGTGAGTTTGAGGCCAGCCTGGGCTGCAAAGTGAGCTCGAGGCCAGCCTGAACTACATAGTGAGACCCTGTCTCAAAGAGACAAAAAAAAAAAAAACAACAAAAAAAACCCAAAACATACTGAGAACCCCCTAGTAGGGCCCTGGCCCATTATCCAAGTTGACTGAACTCTACATAGGCCTCAGCCCCTAATGACTCTGCCCCCAGGCTCTTGCACACCCAGGGTTGATGATGGGGACAAAGGGGACCCTCACTTCAGGACCTGCACAGGGCTTCTCCTCCCATGGATACAGCAGTAGGATACAGCCAGAAGACTCCCAGGTTTTTCCTGTTAGGTTGGTTACAGAGCTGGGGGTGGGGGTGCTGGCTGAAAGTCAGCCACTATCCCTCTAGGCACAGGAGGCTGAATTTCCATGTGAAAATGCTGGCACCGAGGAGCTGAAGTCCTGGCTCACCTTGTCATGCTTGGGACTGTGTCTGATGCTGAGAAGAGCATAAGCTGTGGCCCACGTCAGAGCTTGGCTGAAGGACCCACCGCACATGCTGTGGGGTATGGCTCTTCTCCTGGGTGAATTTTCTCTTGTTGGCCAGGCAAGTTTACTGTGTATGAGTTTGGGGATGACCAGAAGGTACTCCATGGCCAGCTTTTCCAATAATCAGTGTGCTGTGTAGAGTGTTCTCTGGGGTCCTCTGCGGACTCTCTAGGGATTGGCCACCACAGCCAATCTCAGCACAGGTTGGAGGACAGATACTGCTCCAGGAGAGAGGTACAGATCTGGATGCTGTCCTTCTGGAGGGCAGAAAGGGGCCCCTACTTCATTTGTGCAAAGATCTCCGTGATTCCAATTTTGTTTGGTTTAGTTTTTTTAAGACAGGATACTGCTAGGAAGCTCAGGATGGCCTTGAACTCACTATGTAGACGAGGCTGACCTTAAATTCATGGTGATCCTCCTGCCTCAGCCTCCCAAGTGCTGGGATTACAGGCATGCATCACCACAACCAGCTGTGATTCCATTTTTGGAAACCTCTATTGTGATCATTTTTTGCCAGCCTTTTACCACTTGACATTCTTCGAATTATTGTTCTCTCCCTGCTCCTTTTTCTAGGAGAAAGAAAGATGCCATCTTTCCCTGTGAACATTTCTTCCCTTCATATGTCTGGTTAGGGAACATGAAAACATACAACCCCTGGTTGCTGCATCATTCACACTTGATAGTGGCTCACTATCAAAAATGCTATCAAACTTGTTTTACCACTAAGGGTAGAAAAAAGACAAGGTTGGGTAATCTTTTTTTTTTCTTCTCTTTTTGAGACAGGGTCTCGCTATGTAGTTCAAGCTGGTCTTTAGCTCACTTTGTAGCCCAGGCTGGTCTCAAACTCGCAACGATCCTCCTACCTCAGCCTCCCGAGTGCTGGGATTACAGGCATGCATCATCACACCTGGCTGGACGATATTTTCTTTTGGTTTTGTTTGTTTATTTTTGTTTTTGAGACAGGGTCTTGCTGTGCAGTTCAGGCTGGCCTTGAGCTCACTTTGTAGCCCAGGCTGGTCTAGAACTCGCAATGATCCTCCTGCCTCAGCCTCCTGAGTGCTGGGATTACAGGCGTGCGCCACCAAGCCCGGCGCTTGGACGATATTAAGTTGTCTTTCCAGGGTCATTTTCTCCTGCGTTCAAAGATCCAGTCAGGGCTGTGTTCTCAGGTCCTCTTCCTCCATGAGCCTCCATTCAAGTCAGAGAGGACTTTAGATGCCCAAAGGCCAAATGGTCCACCTTTCGTCTGACCCTGCCCGCCTTGAACTCTTCTGTGTCATCCTCACCTGCAAGCAACCTTGTTTCCCTGTGAGGAAATCAAGGGGTCTGGGACTAAGGCTACTAGGGGTTGAAAAAGGCTCAGACTTTGGCGAAAGTGGAAGGGAAAGGCCTGCTAATAGAAAACAAGAGGCACGTGGCGTGGTGGCGCACGCCCGTAATCCCAGCACTCGGGAAGCTGAGACAGGGGATCGTTGCGAGTTCGAGGCCAGCCCGGGCTACAAAGTGAGCTCAAAGGCAGCCTGAACTGCAGAGTGAGACCCTGTCTCAAAAAAAGACAAACAAACAAACAAACAAACAAAAAGCCCCAGGAAAACAAGGGGCTTCCTCTCTGAGGGAGGATCTCTGCACAGCCCCTGTGGGAAGAAGGAAAGTGCGGCGGAAGGAGTAAAGGGGTGAAAAGAAAAGGAATGTTGTCTATCTTCAAATATCTTGACTTTTATTCTTCAGGAATATTAAACATAATGGTGGGCACGTGAGGAGTGGGAAAAGTTTTAAAAGCGCAGGCGGAGCCGAGAAGACGCCTGACATCTCCCTCTCACTCACTCGGGCGGGCACTTCTGGGGGCCTGAGCGCCTTCGGCCAATCAGCGAGGTGCCTCGCGCTCCCTGGCTATCCTTAGCGCTGAGCGGTGGGAGGAGTCGGAGCAGGGGTGGAGAGCGCACCGGCCCATTGGCCAATCGCTGAGCTCACTGGGAGAGATGGGCGGTGCCTCTGGAAACCAGAGGCGGGGCTGTCTCCTTGGCAACAGTCCTAACCCTACGGTTGGGGGGAGGTGTAGTTAGGAGGAGCGGAGCGGGGCGGGGGCCGGGGGAATGCGGACGAGCGCGCCCGTGCTGGGAACTGGAGGTCAACGAAGGGGTCCTCGGCTGGAGAGCCTCTCTGAGGCCAAAAGGGAGTCCATCTAGGTCCCCGAGGCGTGACCGGGGCTGACCTAGAAGGAAGGGGAGCTAGACACCTCCCCCGCTGGCGCCGGGAAGGGAAGCGTCGCTCCTTCTTGCTGACCTTGGTGTCGATTGTCGCCTCGCCCTTTCCACAGGCACTGACAGACACGGGGCCCTGGAGATCTACAGCCAGGTCCCTGGACAGAGGGAGACCCAGGACGTGGGCACACAGACTGCCCTAGACCCTCCCGCCGGCTCCAGGGCGCCGGGTCTCCCCTCCCTCCAACGCCGGGGCCATCCAGCCCAGGGTTAATGCCAACGAGTTTCCACCTCCATCTGCTCCTAGAGAGGCCGCGGCGCTAGCCAGCGGGGGGAACTGGCCGCGGACGGACACTTCCTGTGCTGGGGGGAGGGGGTCGGGAGCCGCAGCCTAGTCGGGGGGCTGGGGCCGGACGGCGGGGTCTCGGGCGGGGAGCGGTGGCCGGGGGTTGCGGGACGAGTCGTGGACCCCTCATCTCCGAGGTTGCGACGCGTGGGGTCCGTGGGGGCCGTAGGACAAGTCGAGACCTTGGGAGGGGGCGGGGCCGCGGGGAGGGGAGGGGCCCGGCGGGCCGGAGAGGCCCAGGGTCAAGACGTCCGGCCTCGGGGCCCGGGGCTGGGCAGCCGGATCCCCTGGGCGGCGCTGCGCGGGCGAGTGGCGAGGGCCCAGGGCTCAGGGCATTCAGGTCGGGTCGCAGGATCGTCCGCCATCGCCACCGCCGCTGCGTTGGGAGCTGGAGGGGATGGAGCGGGAAGCGTCGCCGTGGGGCCTCGAGCCCCGGGATGTGCAAAGTCCTGATGAAATAGGGAGCCCCGAAGAGTCCCTCAAAGGTGAGGGAGGGATTGCTCCCCCTCCGAGTAAGCCTGGGAGCGGGAGAAGGGGCTGTGCTCTGCAAGAGGGGAAGGGGGCTGTGGACACTTGGGACTTGGGGGTGGGGTGGGCACGGGGTCTCCTGGGTCGGCCGAGAAGGGTAGAGAATTTCAGCACCTGCTTAAGGGCCAGCAACCCACTTGGGGAGTGGGGAGAGGTTTGTGGCAACTAATGGACCAAACGACCTTCCAGGCCCCCACACAATCTGGATTTTCTGTAATTCTCTGATCCTGCAGGCAATACGAGTGAGAATGAGGAAGAGGAAATTTCTCAGCAAGAAGCCAATGGGGACTATGAAGTTGAAGAGATACCTTTTGGGCTTGACCCCGAAAGCCCTGGGTTTGAACCACAAAGCCCAGAATTTGAATCCCAAAGCCCCAGGTTTGAGCCTGAAAGCCCAGGGTTTGAGTCCCGAAGCCCTGGATTTGTGCCCCCAAGCCCTGAGTTTGCACCCAGAAGCCCCGAGTCAGATCCTCAGAGCCCTGACTTTGAACCCCAGAGCCCTAGGTATGAACCCCAAAGCCCTGGCTATGACCCCAAGAGCCCTGGGTATGAACCCAAGAGCCCCGGGTATGTATCCCGGAGCCCTGAATTTGAGTCTCAGAGCTCCAGGTATGAATCCCAGAACCATGGGTATGAACCCCAAAACTCTGGAATTGAACCTCAGAATCCTGAGTTCAAAACTCACAGCCCCGAATTTGAAGCTCAAAGTTCCAAATTCCAAGAAGGTGCAGAGTTGCTTCTGAACCCCGAGGAAAAGAGTCCCTTGAGCATCCCTCTAGGAGTTCACCCCCTGGACTCCTTCACTCAGGGGTTTGGGGAGCAGCCCACAGGGGCCCTGCCCCTAGGGCCACCTTTTGAGATGCCTACAGGGGCCTTGTTGTCGTCACCCCAGTTTGAGATGCTCCAGAATCCCCTGAGTCTGACAGGGACCCTTCGGGGTCCAGGCCGACGGGGTGGCCGGGCCAGGGGTGGGCAGGGCCCCCGGCCTAACATCTGCGGCATCTGCGGGAAGAGCTTCGGGCGGGGCTCCACCCTGATCCAGCACCAGCGCATCCACACGGGTGAGAAACCCTATAAATGTGAGGTCTGCAGCAAGGCCTTCTCCCAGAGCTCTGACCTCATCAAACACCAGCGTACCCACACTGGCGAGCGGCCCTACAAGTGTCCCCGATGTGGCAAGGCCTTCGCCGACAGCTCCTACCTGCTTCGCCACCAGCGCACCCACTCTGGCCAGAAGCCCTACAAGTGCCCGCACTGTGGCAAGGCCTTCGGCGACAGCTCCTACCTCCTGCGGCACCAGCGCACCCACAGCCACGAGCGGCCCTACAGCTGCCCCGAGTGCGGCAAGTGCTACAGCCAGAACTCGTCCCTGCGCAGCCACCAGAGGGTGCACACCGGGCAGAGGCCCTTCAGCTGTGGCATCTGCGGCAAGAGCTTCTCCCAGCGGTCGGCACTCATCCCCCACGCCCGCAGCCACGCCCGGGAGAAGCCCTTCAAGTGCCCGGAGTGCGGCAAGCGCTTCGGCCAGAGCTCCGTGCTGGCCATCCACGCCCGCACCCACCTGCCGGGCCGCACCTACAGCTGCCCCGACTGCGGCAAGACCTTCAACCGCTCCTCCACGCTGATTCAGCACCAGCGCTCGCACACGGGCGAGCGGCCCTACAGGTGCGCCGTGTGCGGCAAGGGCTTCTGCCGCTCCTCCACGCTGCTGCAGCACCACCGCGTCCACAGCGGGGAGCGGCCCTACAAGTGCGATGACTGCGGGAAGGCCTTCTCCCAGAGCTCCGACCTCATCCGCCACCAGCGGACCCACGCCGCCGGCCGCCGCTGACCCGGCCCGGCAGGGGCGGGCAGGCGGTGGTCAGGGGAGAAGGGGACAGGGAGCTAGAGAAACCTTTAGAGAGGCTAGTGAGGAGCTGACGGGGAATGGAGGAGTTGAGCGTTCTGGAAGAGGGGCCGGAGTGCGGGCAGTCACATGCCCTGGAGACTTTTGGGAAACGGGCTATGGAGAGGGGCTGGAGGGCGGCCAGCTGGGCAGCAGGAGGCCCTGGGAGAGGTCCAGAGAGAGGTAGGCAGGGCGCTGGCCGGCAGCAGCACGCTCCTCGGGCGCCTGGCTTGGCGAAGTGCTAGGTGGGGAGGGGGGTGGGAGAGGGAGGGCCAGTTAGAGGGGGTAGCTTAGATCGGTAGGTGCTGAGACCCTCGTTGAGTCAAGAAGGGGGGAAGGGGTAGGTAGAATGAATGGGAGGTGGAGCCCTGGGGCAGGGTCTGCACCTCTGAGTGCAAACCCCAGCCTGCCTTGTCTTCCTCAGGCTTTGGAGCCCTTGAATTTGAGTTCAATAAAAACCTTTATGTGGTAAAAGATACTGGTCCTTAAAATGTGTGTGTGGACAGTGTCCTTGGCAGTGGGACATGCCCATCCTAACCCTGAGTGGCGAGTAAAGTCTCAGGGCCTGACTAGGAAGTCCCTCCAGGGATTGAACCCAGTGCCATTTTTTTTTTTTAAAGGCAAGGTCTCACTATGGGGCCAGGGATATAGCTCAGTGGCACAAGTACCTGCCTGGCAAGTGCAAGGTCCTGAGTTCGATTCCTGGTACCAAAAAAAGAAAAAGAAATCATTAACAAGGTCTCACTATGTAGTGCAGGCTGGCCTCAAACTCATGGTGATCCTCCTGCCTCAGCCTCCCAACTGCTGGGATTACAGGTGTGTGCCACCATTCCCAGCTGGGAAGTGCCCTATGTATTTATGTATGTGTGTATTGAGTCTTGTCACCTGATCTTCAGGTGACACAGTTTACCCATCTGTCTGAGTTCACCCCATGTTTGTCACGCTGCACAGACTCGGGGGTCCAGCATAGGAGGTTGTGAGGAGCGCTTTGTGGAACTCTTACTTCCTAATCATAGAGGAGCTCCCCTTGGGCTAGAAAAGACCTTCATTCTGATCTCTCCTTTGCTCTTAGCATCCCAAACTGGAACCGCCAGCTACCTCCTTGTGCATATCCCTTCTCCATGTTCTGAGACCAGAGCGGGTATCTGCAGCCCCAAGCTCACCCATGGCAAGGGGCAGGTTTCTTTTTTTTTTTTTTTTTTCCCCTGGAACCGGGAATCAAACTCACAACCTTGCACTTGCCAGGCAAGCACTGTGCCACTGAGCTAGATCCCCAGCTCCAAGGGGCAGGTTTCTTATGTGGCGCTGAGGACAGAGCTCAGGGCCTTGTGCATGCTGGGCAAGCGCGGTACCACTGAGCTGCATGCCCAGCTGCAGCAGGTATGGTCGGACCATACATGAGGGCCACGCCATGCTTCCAGCCCTATGACCCCCATTCTAGGCCTGATTTGTCACAGCTCTGCTTCCTTTTTAGGATCCCTGTATGGATTAGTGGGAACACCATGTCCCTGCCCCACCATTATCCTATCTAAGCCCCAGCCTCCTAACACTTGGCCCCTCAAGAATGGATGGGGAGTTACTGCCATCAGTGGGTCCGAGGGTATGTGGCATATAGCATATATAGCCTGTCTTAGAGAATCACTTGTCACTGGGCACTTTTTTTTTTTTTTTTTGGTTTTTCTCCGGTACCGGGAACCGAACTCACGACCTTGCGCTTGCCAGGCAGGCGCTTTTGCCGCTGAGCTAAATCCCCAGCCCCTGGGCACTTTTTAATGTATTTTTTGGAACAGGGTCTCACTACGTAGCTCAAGCTGGCCTCGAACTCACTATGTAGCCCAGGCTGACCTCAAAATCACAGTGATCTTCCTGCCTCGGTCTACTGAGTGCTGGGATTACAAGCATGTGCCACCATGCCCAGCTAGGGCATATTTTGAGGTAATGTCTATTAAGGGGGGTGGTAGTGCCATCTGATGGTTTACTCGTTCTATTTCACAGGTAAGGAAAATGGATGGTGTGCTGCCACACACTCGTAATCCCAGCTACTTGCGGGGCTGAGGCAGGAGGATTACAAGTTTGAGGCCAGCCTGGGCAACTTATTGAGGCTGTTTCAAAACTTTTAAAAACTTAAGAAGGGTTGGGGATATACCTCAGTGGTAGAGCAAATGTCCTAGCAAATGTGAGGCCCCAGGTTCAATCCCAGTGTGAAAAAGTACACAAACACACAAACTTGTGTACTATTTTCCCACTGGAACAAAAGGTTCCTCAGATCAGGAACGTATCTTTTTCATCATTTTGTCTTCAGAGCCCCAAACAGGATCTGACACAAAGCATTCAAAAATAACTGAAGGAAGAGAACCTGACTTATGTTTCTTTCTTTCTTTTTTTCGGTCCTGGGAATCAAACTCAGGACCTTGCGCTTGCCAGGCAGGTGCTTGTGCCGCTGAGGTATATCCCCAGCCCCTGACTTGTGTTTCATTACACCTAAATAAGATCATTTCATGTGTTGTTATTAGTTATGTGACACCCCAGAGATGGGGAAATGGTCGCACTTCTTTCATGGTGTCTTGCTTGTGAGCCAGCTCCATGGCTCCTTGGGGCTGGACCAAGACAATAGCAGGCGGGCCACAGGCTTTAAAGGACATGTCACACCTGTCAGGCTTTGAATGCTTATGTACTTCTTGTACCCAGAAAGGGGCTGTCAAAGGCCACAGCCTGGGGTACCACTTCCTGCCTTATATGGATGCAGGGCTCTCTTCCCAGTGCTGGACCAGGAACTGGCCTGTCATTACTCCCTGGGGGTCCTACTGATGACCACATGAGGGCAGCAGTGACCGGCACTCCCCTTTCCTTCTAAAGAGGCCTGAGGGCCATGCCCTTTCCATCCTTGCTTTAAATAAAAGGTAAGGAGGATCCATATGCCTATTCTTTTCTTGTCTTCCTGAGACAGGGTCTTACTATATAGCCCAGGCTGGCCTTGAACTCAAAGCAATCCTCCTGTCTCAGCCTTCTGAATGCTGGGATTACAGGCATGTACCACCATGTCTGGCTTCTCTGCTTCACTTTTAATTAACCCACCATGTTGGCTGCAGGTCAGTATCTAGGGGTCACCATAAAAAATAAAGGGGAAAAAAAGAAGGCCGGGAGTGGTGGCGCATGCCTGTAAGCCCAGCACTTGGGAGGCTGAGGCAGGAGGATCGCTGTGAGTTTGAGACCAACCTGGGCTACAAAGTGAGCTCAAGGCCAGCCTGAAATGCATAGTGGCACCCTGTCTCAAAAAGACAAAAAAGAAAAAGAAAAAAAAAAGAAAGCAGAGTTTGCTACTATTTGGGCCCCTTCAGTAAGAGGGTTGAAAGGGAAACGCACCTTTAACTGAGCCAGGCTGCAGTGTTGCACTAGCACAAAAACTCACAAAACTGGGTTGAATTTTATATTTATTGAGTAAGTACGTGCAGGCGCTGTGCGTGGTCCTGCGGCTCTAAGTGAACAGACTTACTCCCACCTTGAACTCGGTCTCAGTGGGCAGGGTGGGAAGGAGGCTGGGAGAGGCTGTGCAGCCCGGGCCTGGCCGCACTCTCTGTATCTCCCCAAGGACCCTGTCATCCACTCAGTGAAACCGTGTCCAGCACCTACTGCCTGGCTCTGTGATACCATCAGGGGTCCCAGGGCAGAGGGGAGAGGGATGCACTCCCTCCCCTTATGGAGTTCACTGTTTGAGAAACAGAAATTAAATAAATCACTAAACACTGTACAAATATAACCTGGGGGACAAGGGCCAAGTGCAGGCTTCGAGTATGGAAGATGCTCGAAGACAACTGGACCGGGGGGTGGGCAATGGCGTGAACGCTGAGCGGCGGGGAAAGGACAGGGGCCGCTGCAGTGACCGCAGCAAGGCAGGGAGAGGCTGGATGCGGGCGAGGCCAGAGTCCACCGAGCTGGGAGGCGGGTGGGACGTCTCCAGGAGGGGCAGGGAAAGCTGCGGTTCTGCAGGCCTTGGAAGATTTAGTAAGAAATCTGGTCTCAGGCGGAAGAGCAAGGCTTTCAGAGCCCCAGTGCAGTGACAGGGGTCGGACTTGCCCTCCACAGCAGGCTTCGGGGCTGCACTCCAAGCAGGACAGAGTTCCAGGGCAGCTCAGGGGGTCTGAGGACCCAGACATCACGGCGCAGAGGAGCATCACTGGGTCCTGACACTACGGCGTCTCCATGTTTAGTTCGCAGCTTTTTTTTTTTTGGCACCAGGAATCAAACTGAGGACCTTGCACTTGCCAGGCAGGTGCTTATGCCGCTGAGTTGTATCCCTGGCCCAGTGTCTCCAAATTTAGATCGGATGTTCTTGTCTGAGGGTGAAAACCAGGCAGGCTGGTGGGAGGCTACACATCTGATGATGCCAAGGCCTCTCCTCTGTGGCTTTGCTGCCATCCCTCAGCAGATTCTTTTTTTTTTTTGGTCTTTTTGAGACAGGCTTTCGCTCTGCAGTTCAGGCTGGCCTTGAGCTCACTTTGTAGCCCAGGCTGGTCTGGAACTCACAGCGATCCTCCTGCCTCAGCCTCCCAAGTGCTGGGATTACAAGCGTGCGCCACCATGCCCGGCTTCAGCAGATTCTCACTATGAGCCTACACAGGACACAAGAGGAGGGTGCTCTGTGCTCAAGATAGGGAAACTGAGGCTGAGGGACAGCAGTGACTTGCCCAAGGACACACACTGAAGTGCAGACTGAGGCTGACAGGCCTTGAGCATCTCAAGTCCTTCCCGGACCCTCTGTGCATCAGGCTGGGCCTCAGTCTTTGACGCCTCCATCTTGAGCCTCGTTACCCTGGAGGGGCTCTAGACAGTCCAGATCTGCGGCCTCCTCAGACGCCGCCAAAGGGATCCCATTGGGGACGCCTCCGTCAGCCTCCATCTTCTCCTTCAGGTTCCTTTTGAAGAAGCCAACCTGTAGTAAGACAAACATGCAGCACTGTGACCAGGCAGCCCAGCAGCGTGTGAAGACACCCCATGTCACACAGGCCACAGTCCCTGGGCATCTGTCCCAGGGTGGGGGAGGGCACTGCCACACTTGGTTCTTGGAAAGAAAGAGATCTTGGAAATATTTTTTAAAAGCTTTACTTTTTAAAAAAATTTTTTGGTCTTTTTGAGACAGGGTCTCGCTATGCAGTTCAGGCTGGCCTTGAGCTCACTTTGTAGCCCAAGCTGGCCTCAAACTCACAATGATCCTCCTGCCTCAGCCTCCTGAGTGCTGGGATTACAGGCATACGCCACCATGCCTGGCTAAAAGCTTTACATTTAATAGTTCACTCTTTAGGCTTATCAGAATTTTATGTATCGAGCCAGGCATGGTGGCACACATCTGTAATATCTGGGAGGCTGAGGCAAGAGAATTGCAAGTTTGAGACTGGCCTGGGCAACTTAGTGACTTGGGGAGCTTGTGTCTCAAAATTAATTAATTAATTAATTAATTAATTAATTTTTGAGACAGGGTCTCACTATGCAGCTCAGGCTGGACTTGAGCCCACTTTGTAGCCCAGGCTGGTCTGGAACTCACAGCAATCCTCCTGCCTCAGCCTCCCGAGTGCTGGCATTACAGTTGTGCGCCACCACGCCTAGCACAATAGGGAACTTGTTAAATAACAGACAGGGTATTCAGATGGTAGAAAAGTAGCCACAGGCAAAATCAGGAAGGAGAGCTGCTGGCAGTCACATAGAAGGACATCAAGATACAGTATTGAGTGAAAACAAAGCTCCCAAGCAGTCTACCTAGTATTACTCTATCCATGTTCTTTACATGTAGAAATGTAAGATGACTGTCTGTCTTCCTCTCACACTCATATATACATATATATGTGGTTTTTTTTTTTTTTTTTTCCGGTACAGGGAATCAAACTCACGACCTTGCACTTGCCAGGTAGGCACTGTGCCGCTGAGCTAAATCCCCAGCTCATACACGTGGACGACAAAATTAGAACTTGGAGGAATATAGCTGGGCATGGTGGTATATACCAGTAATCTCAGCACTTGGGGAGGCTGAGGCAGGAGGATTACAAATTCACACACAGCCTGGATTTTTTATTTTTTTTTATTTTTTTTTTTAAGACAGGGTCTCGCTATGCAGTTCAGGCTGGTCTTGAGCTCACTTTATAGCCCAGGCTGGTCTCGAACTCACAAGGATCCTCCTGGTTCAGCCTCCAGAGTGCTGGGATTACAGGCGTGCCATGGGAATGTGGTCCTCTCCCCTGCCTCCCCCCTAGTTCTGGTTCTGCCAGTGCTAGGTTGAGTGATGGTGGAAAAACTTCACTAACTCTGCGGGTTTCGGCTGCCTTATCTGTAAAAGGAGGGGCAGGCTGAGGCCCCTTCTGGCCCTAAAGTTCCTGGCTCTGGCAACGCCCCGCCCCAGCCTGGCCGCCTTGGCAGTGCTTGCTCCGCCCAGGAGCTCTCACCTTGTACAGCACTAGGAAAATGATGAGCAGCAGCAGCAGACCCCCGGTGCCGCTCAGCACGTAGAGGTACAGCATCTCCTTCTCGTACACCACGTCGACCTTCGTGAGGATCTGGGGAGAGGCAGGCAGGTGCAGGGAAAAGCCTCCCACCCCTAGAAGTTCCGCTCCCAGGCTCGGGTCCTATCGCCGCACCGGCTCTGCCTCCAGAGCGCCCCCCACCGCATCATCAGTGTCAGTGACCACGTGGTCAACACCACCACCGTGAGCCTCAAGACTCCATGGCTGCCCGTGAGCTCCAGGGTACAGCGCCAGTCTCAGCTCGGCACTCAAAGCCTCCGGGAATCTGGCTGCTGCTCACCTTTTGAGACTCCTCTGCCCGCTGAGCTGTGCTTCCTGCCCTCCCCGTCCCAGCCTCCTGCGCTCTCTGCGCCGCACCTCTGTGTTTGGTGCTAAGCTCCGGGCACCCTCTCTGCTTGCTGTTCGGCTGGTGGCCCTTTGCTCAACTGCCCTCAGTTTCTTCTTCTTTTTTGTCTTTTTGAGACAGAGTCTCGCTATGCAGTTCAGGCCGGCCTTGGGCTCACTTTGTAGCCCAGGCAGGTCTCGAACTCACAACAATCCTCCTGCCTCAGCCTCCCGAGTGCTGGGATTACAGGCATGTGTCACCATGCCTGTCCAGATTCTTCTTTGGTGGACACATAAGACTACTCAGCTCAGACCGGTGGTACTGCAGTCTGGTCACTGCCACCCCGCAGAGTGGGAGTCCCCCTTCCCCCCCAGGGACCTGGCTCTGGCTTGGCCTGAGAACCCTCGAGCCATGCAGGTCTCCCCCCTGTGGCTCTGCCCCGGGTTCTCAAGCCCTCCGATGCCCACTCCTGAGGCGGCACGTACCTGGGCCAGGGAGGCATTGCTGCCGTACAGGTGGAAGTGCCTGCTGCTGTTGAAGGAGATGGAGAGCGAGCTGCAGAGGCCGAGCATGGAGGAGGCCTGCGGCGGTGGGGGTGGGGGCACAAGACAGGAGAGCTGTGACCCAGGGCCACCGAGCTTGGGCCTCAGAGCAGTGGGAGGGAGAGGGTAGGTTCCCGCGGGGCGGCTGTGGCATTCTCGCCTCACTGCTGGAGGGGAAGTTTCCCTAAGGACTACCCATACAGATCCACAAAAACTACCCTGCAAATTTCTTTTTCCTTTTGTCTTTTTTTTGTCTTTTTGAAACAGGGTCTCACTATGCAGTGCAGGCTGGCCTTGAGCTCACTTTGTAGCCCAGCCTGGTCTCGAACTCGCGAGAATCCTCCTGCCTCAGCCTCCCCAGTGCTGGGGTTACAGGCATGCGTCACCACGCCCGGCCACCCTGCAACTTTCAAACATATCATGGTTCTCTTTCATTTGCCACTGTATAAACTTGAGGATTTTCCTTTACAATAGAAAAGGAAAATGGGGGGAGGCGATCTGCGGGGAGCCCACCCTCACTCCAGACCCACAGGCCCCCCAACCACTTCCCACCGCAAGCTGTGAGCAAGCCTACTTCAATGTCTCCCATCAGCTCCACGGTCGCCTCCACTTGGATGAGGATCTCCGGCCTGAAGACAAGCGGGCAGCGGATCTCGGCTCCGGGGAGACAAGGCTGCGGGGGTGAGGCCGCGGGTCAGAGCCCGCCTTCCGTGCGCCCCCCCAGCCCCCCTTCTCCGCGCACACGCCGCACCTCGCTGCCATTGGGCGGCGGCCTCAGGTCCTCACGACGGCAGGCGACGGGAGGCTCCTAGGCAGGAGGGCAGAGACTCCCAGTTGGCCTGGGCCGCTTTGCTCCCTGGATGAGGCGGGCGCCCTAGTTCCCTCCCTTGCTGGCCCTCTGATGGGACCCCAGCGAGTCTCTGGGTTCGGAGCTGTCCGCCCTCACCCTCCACCCGGCCGTGCCGGTCCGGCGGCCCCGCGGCACTCACCATGCGCACGCTCCAGCTGTGCGAGACGGGCTGCGCGCCGCGAGGCGGGGGCACCCTGACCACGGCCTCCAGCGACGGCAAGTCGTGGTCGTGGACGGAAGGCTGAACCCTCACCTGGCACAGAGGACAAGGGTGCAGAGCCCGAATGCCAGCCACCCTGCGCGCCTCCCTGGCCTGGCCTGGCCTGCAGACCTCACTGAGCAGCAGGTAGGGACCAACTGCAGCGGGCCGCGCCCTCGACGCCTTCAGGTGCAGGCTCCAGGCTCTTCCCGCTTTCTCCCTGCGGGAAAGCCCGCCCACACCCTGCAGGGGCCTGCCCTGGAGACCTGGCTGACTCCCAGTCCGCTCATCCCAGGCAAGGTGACAAAGCACATCTGTGACTCCAGGAGACCATGAGCTTCCCGAGGACCAGAGCGGGGCGGGATGTCCTTTTTTTTTTTTTTTTTTCTTTTTGAGACAAGTTCTCACTATGCAGTTCAGGCTGCCCTGGAGCTCACTTTGTAGCCTGCTCTACAAAGATCCTCCTGCCTCAGCCTCCTGAGTGCTGGGATTACAGGCCTGTGCCACCACACCAGGCAGCAGGTGGGATTTCATCTTCTGCTCTGTACTGCTTCATACAGTAGGCTGCATATAACAGGCTCCCTAAAGGTCGTTTTCTGCTTTTTTTGTTTTTGCTTTTGAAATGGGGTCTTTTTTTTGGTTTGTTTGTTTTTTGGTATCGTGAATCGAACTTGGGACCTTGTGCTTGCCAGGCAGGTGCTTGTACTGCTGAGCTATATCCCTGGCCCAGAAGAATCTTTTTTGGGGAGAGGAGAGCAGCAATCGAACTCAGGACCTTGTGCTTGCCAGGCAGGTGCTTATGCTGCTGAGCTATATCCCAGGGCCATGACGGGGGTCTCGCAATGTAGTTTAGGCTGATCTCAAACTCACTGCGTAGCACAGGCTGGCCTCCAACTCTCGGCGATTGTCTGCTGTGTGCTCCACCACAGAGGACTTGTTTTTTTTTTCGGTGCTGGGATTGAACCCAGGGCCGCACACATGCTAAGCACGGGCTCTCTTACTGAGCCACAGACCTCCAGCCAAAAAGCAGTTTTTTGAATTGAGTGAGTGAATGACATTTAACAAAGATAGACAAAAAAGTTACTTGTACAACAGGTTGGAAAAGACTCATTTTGGACACTGGACTGCACTAAGAAATATTTGAGTACTTTGTATTTAAAAAGAACTGTCTGTGTTAGAGTGGGGCATCCCGAAATGTGTAAGAAAGTGACACAGAAGTAGCACCGATACTGTTTCAGAGAGGTCAAGCAGAGATATGTATGTCCAATTTGTGGGGTTCTGTTGTTTGTTCATTCAAGAAACATTTGTGGGTTGGGGATATAGCTCATGGTACAACCGCCTGCATGGCAAGCTCAAGGTCCTGAGTTCGATTCCCAGTACAAAAAAACCCAAAATAAACAAACAAATGAAACCGGGCATGGTGGTGCACTCCTGTAATCCCAGCACTTGGGAGGCTGAGGCAGGAGGATCACTGTAA